TATTTTATTTTATTATTATTATTTTTCATTTCATTATTATTTTTCATATTATTATTTTTCAAACTATCTGGACAGTTTTTCTGATGACAAAAATAGAAATAATACACATCCTTTTTTAAATAAACCTTTTCTGTATCACAGGGTCGATAGTAGCCTCCTGAGAGTTGGAATTTTCTTGAGAGATTTTCAGGGAACAAACACAGAAATAACAATTATCACTGCCCCAAAATTAGACAATATCTATTTAGAATTTCTTTATTCCCTCCCCTCCCCTCCCCTCACTCATAAACCATAGATAGTGGTTTGTGAATCAACACTGCCTCCTGGTGTCCATTGCGAGGAAAAGACACATCTTTCTAATTCACTGAGGAGATTCTTTAGGTCCAGAAGTTTCCTTAATATGTGAATGGCAGTTTGGATATTTAGAAAGTTTATCCCGAAGTTTCCTTTTCAGATTTCTGCCATCATTAGTAAAGGAGAAAATGCTATTCGTTTTATTTTCTCAGAAGTCAGAATACTTTACAAACAGGGAAGGTAAACGGGAATTTTGAAGCCATTTTCCTCAATCTTCATGGTCTTTCAGGATACTTTCTTCCAGGATACCCAAGACAAAAGAATCCTAAAAAATTCACTATATGCTGCTGAATCTAAATTAGCCAATCCAGGATCTGGGGATAAATCAAGTTGAAGAGCTGCTCTGAAGGTTTTTGTTTAGCTTCAGATTTACTTCCTCTCACTGTGTCTCCCGCACAGTAATAGATTGCCGTGTCCTCTAGTTTGAGGCTGTTCATCTGCAGATACAGCTGGCTTTTGGCATCATCCCTGGAGATGGTGAAGCGGCCCTTGACTTTGTCTGAGTAATAAGTGGAAGGATTTGAGCCTGTACCTATGTAGGCTACCCATTCCAGTCCTTTGCCTGGTGCCTGTCTCACCCAATACATGTAAGAGCTGCTGAAGGTGAACCCAGAGGCTTGGCAGGAGAGACTGAGGGACTCTCCAGGTCTTCTCACATCCCCTCCAGACTCCACCAACTGGACTTGAGACTTGGCACCTGAAAAGAAAGGTGTATCAGTAAACTGTTCTGTATACAAGTATTAAAATGGAAGGAAGCTGAATAGGGAAGAAACAATTACCATGGAG